GTGTGCTGGTCCGGCTGACTCTGACTGATCCCATGAGATTGATCTGGATTCCCGGGGTTTGATCGATCTCATAATTCATGTGCACTGCCAACCCAATTAATCTCATTGATCCCCAATGGTTTTTGACTCTGATCAATCTGGTGCACCCTTCATATGTTGATCTCCTGCACACCCTTCATATACTGCTCCATTACGTGACATTACCATAACTGCCACTGATCATTTGGCGCACTCTCTTACCGATCCCATGAGATTGATCTGGATTCCCGGGGTTTGATCGATCTCATAATTCATGTGCACTGCCAACCCAATTAATCTCATTGATCCCCAATGGTTTTTGACTCTGATCAATCTGGCACACCCTTCATATGTTGATCTTCTGTGCACCCTTCATATACTGCTCCATTACGCGACATTACCATAACTGCCGCTGATCATTTGGCGCACTCTCTTGCGCTGGCCAGCCGACCCTGTGACAACAGCCAGTTGTTCTCCTGGCCAGCACCCATCGACTGCACACTTGGCCCCCAACCTCCTTTGCCTCCAGCATGGGGCTCTCTACTGCCGCCACCTCTCTGCTCTGGCATGGTCTTGCAGCCAGCACTTGCAGCTGTGCCAGTAGCTCTGTCACCACCTTTCACACCTTCTGTGCCTTCACTTTTGGTCTCACCATACCCTGCCTTCTGGCCTCTGGCCTCCAGCTCCTTGAGTGGCTTGGCAGCATGTCCACCAAACATCACCCCTTCCACTCTGCCAAGCACGAACTCAGCCATCTCCACTCTCACCATGTCAACCTTGGCCTCACCCTCAATGGTTTTGGCTGCAGCCATCTGGAGCGGGCCTTGTGTGGCTACAAGCACCTCCATGGCATGTGAACCTCTGGTCCTAAGCTGCCAATCACCCTGCCCCTCCTATGCTGCATCATCATTGCCATCGACACCTTGGCTGACCTGCCCACACATGATTAACAGGTCTACAAGGCAGCTTTCACCCTTGCCTTTGCCTGCTTCCTCTGCTCTGGTGAGGTTGTGTGGGAATGTTCCTCCAACCCAGCTGTCATCCTCTGGGTGGCCAGCATGACCTTGGAACCTGACCATGCAGTCATCACCCTCCCAGCCTTGAAGACTGACCCCTTCAGGCTTGGCATCAAGGTGGTTGCCCCTCTTGTTGGTGGGCCTGAATGCCCCTTCTCTCACCTCCAACCCTTGCTCTCTCAACTGGCCTCCTCCCCCCTCTTTGGCCTTGGCCCCTCCCAATCAGCACCCCTCTCTTGCTCTTCCTTCATATCGACTCTGCAGCAGGTGATTGTGGCTTCTGGCCTCTCCCCCTCAGCCTATGCTGGCCACTCCTTCCACCATGGTGCTGCCACCTGGGCTGCGAGCCTTGGTGCTGATGCTGACACCATCCAGTGTCTTGGCTGCTGGAACTCCAACTGTTTCCAGTGCTACATTGACTGCTTGGCAGTGGAGTGTCGGGACCTCTCCATCACCACTCTCTACTGTCTTCAGGACAGCCTGCTCATCCCCCACACTGCCTTGTGGTGTGACATGGGTTCCTCCTAAGCCGATCATCATGGCCCCATCCCTGTCAAGACCACTCTCTGTTGTGCAGGCGACTCAACACTTGGCTGGTGGGCTGGGAGCCTTTGAGCCAGCGAGCCACCTCGCTGACCCGCAATCTAACAGGACCTCCATATTGTTTTCTGCATCAACGGACTGACCTCATTTACGGCCGTGTGAGCCAGGCTGGGATACGCACAGGGACTGTATGTACATTACAGTCCCTGTGCATAAGTTTGGGGACAATCAGGTAATTTCCCAATTTAGTCAGTTACCCTGCATTTGGGTCATCATTGTCATTGAGCAATAGCACTGCCATCACACTAATCAAGAACACTTCAAACACTGATATGGTCTGTGGCAATGAGCTCTTTCCAAGCAAGCATGCTTCAATCATTGCAATGCATGATACTGGGTTGCCAATTTGATGAATTGCAGAGCTAAGCAGTGTTTCCAAAACAGCAGTTCACAAGACCATCCATAACTTTAAGGAGTGTGGTACCTTCGAAACAAAAGCATGATCCAGGCATCTGTGCTCCTGGACAGCTACCTCGGACTGATACCTTCAGCATGAGGTACTCAAAAACCTGTTTCTATCATGGTGACAGCTGTCAGCATCACTTGGCAGCATTCCAGTTATGCAGCTCTGGAAAGCAGCATACCAGGCTGGTATTAACTGCTGGATTGCACTCTGAAAGCTGTTTCTGACAGCCAAAAACTAGCATAAACATCTAGAATGGGCCAAGGCTAACAGCACCACTGATTGGAGGGGTGTGCTGTTCACAGATGAGGCAGCTGTCAAGGTTGGCTACTGGCCCAGATGCACATGGGTTAGTCACCAGAAAAACACTTGAGAAGACATCAACAACATGGTTCCAACATTCCATTCTGGCTGTTTCAGCATCCAGGTATGGGCCAGCATTGCATACAACCTTAAAACCCCATTGATTGTGCTCCCATTGGCTCCAAGAAAGAAGTGGCCAGGGTCAGCTAATCAATGGGATCCAACTGAGAACCTCACAGCTGTCAGATATCATGATTGGATCATCAACAGGCTGCTCTGGGATGCCATAACTGCTGTTAGTGCATACCCTGATGGCCTGTCAGTTGTTGAAGATGGCAGCAGCTGTCATCAGGCTGCTATCTGCAAGCAATGGCAGGCTGAATATCACATTAAGATGCAGGAACACCTGCCAGCTTTGCCAGACCTTAACCCTATTGAGAACATATGGTATGTATTCAAAAACTTGCTTGGTAAGTGCTTGCCAGTACCAAAAACCTGGGATGAACTTGCCAGAGCTGCAGAGGAGGTGTGGAACACCCAGATCATGCTCAAACATATCAAACCTGTGATCAAGTCAATGGAGCATCACATGGAGCAAGTGCTTACTAAGCATGGAGGTCTGCTCAAGTATTAGTTGGCTCTGAGACTCACTGCAATTGAAAGCCCTTCTTCCAAGCTTGCTCACTGTGTGTTTTGCTCAGTCTGACACTTATGAGAGATCACTCCTCCAAGCAGATGGAAGGTATGCTATTGGATGGTTGATTTATTGTCTATTGGACCCTGTCCCCGAACTTTGGGCAGGGACTGTACAATAATGCATTCGGTTCATTCCCGCATCGACTCCGTTTCCCCATCTCATTGTCATTTCATATCGTCTGGTAAAGCTTTTCTTTCAAAACGCAGTTCATCGAACGAAGCATTCTATGTGAGATGAGACCCCAACGCCGAGGGTCAAAAACTTCGATTTCACTAGTACCTTACAATCCCAGCTCATGCTCACATGGCCGACAGATGCGAGAAAGGGTTTGATTGCGGGTCAGCGGCGAAGCGTGCTGGCTCTGAGGCTCCCGGCCCACCGTACAGGGCCGGATGAGTGCAAAACAAGCGAAACAAACAAGGGAGGGAACGGGCGGGTCACAAAAGGGAGCAAGGTTGTGCACTATGGCTACGCCTGCAACAAGAGAGAGATGATGGAGAAGAGGGAAGCATGATGAGACAGAGCACTGACGAAGTCAGTGCGACGAGGGATGTGGATGATGTGGAAGGTGGGCGCGTGTGCGCAAGCTCAGATGTGCATGCCAGTCACGTGCTGCATCCCAGTGTCAGGGGTCTCGCGCCTGAAACCCAGGTCGGTCTGTCGAGATACTCGGTGACTATCAAACTGTGTGACAGCTATTGTCTCGGTATCGGTGACTATCAAGTTGTGCAGTGACAGCAGGTGGTGTTCATTGTATATACTATCATAGGTTTCGGCTGACCTCTGTGGACACTCCGTTCAGGGGTAGCTCGGCACGATCAATATCGATGTTATGATGACACCAAGGTCTGGTGTGAGTGTTGATGATGATGAGGTTGATGGTGTTGGTGATGAGATTGGTGATGTCGATGATAAGGAGGTTGATGGTGTTGGTGATAAGGTTGGTGGCATCAACACGAGTGTCCAGTGTGTTGACTTGATGCTTGAAGTGATCCCCGGACTGCAGTGGACTACTGCCTTCGGTTCTATCTTGATCTGGACCGCTAACCTGCTATGGGCGCCTTTGGACATCAGGTAGTGGTGATACAACACACACACTACAATGAGGAGCAACCTTGATAGATTGCTGCTATGCTGACTGAAACTAATGTATACTTATGCTGAAGTGATAACTAGTTATATGGTGAGTAGAGTGAATGAGGATCCACTCGACCTATGATGATGAGAAAGCATGGTTATATACCTCTACTCAGCATCGCCAGCGATGCTGCTCCTGCTCTCTCTCTCCAGAGAGTACCTTCTTCATCGAGTACTGCTCAGGGGCCTCTCCTGCTTGGCACCCCTGTGCCTCTTGAGCTGTGTTGACTCCTTCAACACTGCTCCTCCTCCTCATGACCTGGTGTCAACTCCTTCGACACTGCTCCTCCTCCTCATGACCTGATGTCGACTCCTTCGACACTGCTCCTCCTCCTCATGACCTGGTGTCAACTCCTTCGACACTGCTCCTCCTCCTTTGATCAGTGACAGTTCCTTTGGCTCTTGTCTCTCGAGCCCCTGAGTGGTAACCATCTGCATGCTCCTTGAGCTTGGTCCTCTTCATGGCTGTGCCTGCTCCTTGAGCTTGGTCCTCCTCGTGGCTGTGCTTGGCCCTCCTTTGCATGTGAGTCCATAGGAGTCCATGGTCTCCATGGAGACTGCACTACAACCATGCTCTCTACTGATCTCGACTAGATCTTCGATACCTGTGCTCCTTCCATATGAACCCGTGACTCTCCTGCTTCTTGAGCATCCAGGCCCATGACACCCAGCTCATGCTCACATGGCCGACAGATGCGAGAAAGGGTTTGATTGCGGGTCAGCAGCGAAGCATGCTGGCTCTGAGGCTCCCGGCCCGCCAACCGAGAGTCGAGGTGCCTGCGCAGCAGACAGCACTCTCAACAAGGCCGGGCCCAACGATGGGCTAGGTGGCCCCCATGTCTTGCCACGAGGCGCTGTCAGGGACGAGGGGGCTGTCACGAACACTGAAGAGGGCGGCAATGGAGAGGTCACAGCGTTCGCTGGCAGAGTGGTCAACATAGCACTGGAAACAGTCAGAATTCCAACAGCCGAGGCACTGGATGGTCTCGGGGCTGGCACCAAGGTGGGCCACCCACGTGGCGGCACCGCGTCGAAAGGAATGGCCGGTGAAGGCGATGGCACGCCGAAGGACAGCAATGAACGACGAGCGCGGGAGGGGGTCTGCCCCAGACGGGCCGAGGCCAAAGAGGGGGGCAGAAGAGGGACGACCAGAGAGTAGGTGGCAAAGGTGGGCGATTGGGCATTCTGGGCTGCCGACAAGAGGGGCGACGACCTTGATGCCGAGGCGGAAGGGGTCTGTCTTGGACACTGGCAAGGTGATGATGGCATGGTCAGCAGCCAATTCAACACTGCCAATGCGAAGGACGACAGCTGGGTTGGTGTGCCAGTCCCAGACAACCTCGCCCAAGCACAGGAAACAGGCAAAGGAGAGGGTGAACGCTGCCTTGAACACAGCATGATTGCATGCAGAGAGGTCGCTGAAGGTATCGACGGCAGCGGCAAGGCGGCGAAGGAGGGGCAACGTGATGGGGAGCTTGGCGCTGGTGTGCCAAGCACCGTGGATGCACTTGTAGCCACACAGAGCCCGCTCGAGACAGCCGCACTCAAAGCCGGCCAGGCTGAGGCCAAGGTCAACATGGTGGGAGCAGAGGTGGCCAAGCTCGTGCTTGGCAGAGTGGTATGAATGGCCGGTGGAGGACATGCTGCCAAGCCACTCGAGGAGCTGGACACCGGTGGTGGGCAGACAAGCGATGTTGGCACCAAAGTGCCAGGTGCAGAAGGTTCAGAAAGCGGTGACGGTACTGCCAGCACGGTCTCGAGTGCTGGGCGCAAGGCCATTCCAGAGCAAGGTAGCCACCGCCGAAGTGATCCCCATGCTGGATGCGAAGGTGGGAGGGGGTTGGCCGGCTGGTCAACGTGTCCCTGGCAGAAGGACAACTGGCTGTATGCCTGCGGAAAGGACTGCTGGATGCGATGGAACTGGCGATGGGAAAGAAGGTCGGCAAGAACATTGACAGTGGTCGAGACACGCACAGGGTGTAGAGTGAAGTTGTGGGTGAAGCAGAACCCAAAGATCTCCCGAAGCAGCTTCTGCATGAGTGGGTCACGTGAGCTGCCAGAACGGAGACCGTGCTCGACGTTCTCGTTGTCGACATGGACAACCACCATCAAAGGAGATGACCAGAGGGGAGCAAAGAGACAGAGTGCTTCCAGGACGGCCAAGGCCTCCAAGAACCGGATGTTCTTCTTGTGGTGTCAGCGCAGGACCTCACGCGAGAAGATGGCCATGGTGTCAGTGGCCAGTCCCAAGTGGGCACCATAGCTGCGAGGGCAGGCATCAGTCCACATGTGGGCAACCACCAAGGGAGAAGGGGAGAGGACGCTCATGCCAGACCAGGATTCCAGCATGGTGACCCACCAGGCGAGCTCGGCGAGGGCTGGTCTGGGTATGCGCCAGCGACCAGCAGAGTGCTGGCGGCGAGTACAGCTGTAAAGGCGGCGCAGGAAAGCCTTGCTGCATGGGAAAACCTGTGACACAAACTGCAGGAGGCCAGCGATATGCTGCATGTTGAGAAGGTCTGCAGTGCTGTGGCTAAGGAGGTGGTGGCACTGAGAGAGGATGTGTGCCTGACATTCCGAAGTAATGCCAACAGTTTGAGCTGCAGAGTCGATGTCGATGCCGAGGACCTCGAGGCGCGTGAGGTTGGCGAAAGTCTTTTTGACCGACAGGCAGAGGCCAAGGGCAGTGGAGGCCAGGGCTAGGGCGTGGACCGGAAGGAGGGCCAGGTGGGCAGCCTTGGCCGGAATGGCGCCAAAGGTGTCGTCCAGGTAGTGGTTGACTGGCCACGTGTTGGGCAGGCAAGAGGCAACGACCCAATGGAGGAACTCAGCCACCAGGTTGAACAGGAACGGCGAGCTGCTGCCACCAAAGGTGAGGGCATTCTCGCAGTAGCGGATGCCGTCATACTGGAAACCGAGAAGGTATGCATCGGACTCTGCCGTCACAACGTGGCGAAAAGCGTCCTCTAGATCACCTTTCCAGAGGAGGCAGTTAGGGTTGGACCACACAAAGTCGACGAGCTGGCGGACGGACTCGTACTGGATGCAGATGAAGGAAGGATTGATGCTGGCATTGACCGATGGAAGAGCCAAGGATGCTGGGTGCTGGGGGTGGGATAGGTGGTGGATGGTGCAGAGCTTGATGGAGCGAGGCTTGGGAACAACACCAATCGGCAACTCGACAAGGGCTGAGGTGGCCAGTACCATGGTGAGCTGACCCTCGGCGAGGCAAGCAGTAATCTCACAGCAAAGGTGAGCATGGCCGTCGGCGTCGATGGGCAGGTTGGCAACGTGGCGATTGGCCTGATGGAGAGGGCCATCATAGCCAAGGAGACAGCTGTGTTGAATCATGCTGGCCATCTGCGTGCAGTAGCGCTTGTCTGGGTAGTCCAGAAGAAGGCGCTCCCACGCCAGCAACTGGAGCTGCATGGAGCTGATGCGGGCAGGTGACGTGGTGGGGTCAAATGCGTCAAGCTCGAGTGTGGTGTTGGGGTGGATGGGAGGAAGATGCTGGTGCAGGTCAAACAGAAGTGAAAGACACCAGTCAGCTGATGGAACATCGAGGGCTGCCGGGACCGAGGTGAGATGCCGGACCTGAGTCTGTCACGGAGACATGTCGTCGACGACAGTGTCGACAAGCCGGACCTGAGTCTGCCGCAGAGACCTAGTGGGATGCTGGACCTGAGTCTGTTGCAGAGACATAGTGTTGTCGTCAGGAGAGACGTGCTGGACCTGAGTCTGTCGCAGAGACATGCTGTCGACGACAGTGTCGACAAGCCAGACCTGAGTCTGTCGCGGAGACCTAGTGGGATGCTGGACCTGAGTCTGTCGCAGAGACATAGAGTCATCATCAGGAGAGACGTGCTGGACCTGAGTCTGTCGCAGAGATGAAGAGGAGGACATTGGGCAACTAATGCTGCTGTTTCTTGATGGCAGCTGATGGATCGGTGCACGAGGTGCGAGGGTGAGGACCTTTACAGGTTTCGCACACATGCTGGCACAGGCACTGAGAGCCGTCAGGACAGCCAGTGGAGTTCCAACAGAAGCAGACCTGCCCGCTGAGGTCATGGTGCTGGCGCTTGGTGGACGATGAGGCTGGGACGTCAGTGGAAGACGCTGCTGTTGAAGGCTTGGCTGGTGATTTGGAGGTTGACACGTTGCAGCGGGGTATGCCTCCCAGGGCTTTCTGCCAAGCGCTGAGATCGTCGACAGCCCAGTCACTGGCTGAAGCATAGCCAAAATGACGCTCACAGACAGTGAGGACGTACTCAGCTACGGCCGGCCAGTGCCACCTGGTATCATGGTCGACGACTGCTACGAGGAAAGAACCGAGGCTGGCACAGAGGTCGGAATCGCCGGTGCTGGCACAATGGAGGGCCGTGTAGGCTGTCCAAGCCTGAGCGAAGGCATGCACGTCTGGGATTTGGCACAGGAACCTCTTGACGTCTGGTGTGTCGGACGAAGGGAGGGCTGGCTGGACTTGAATGCTGTTGACTAAGATGCCAGAGGCAGCGTCAGGCTCGGCGCGAGACTTGCTGGTGCGATGAAGCTTGCCGAGGTCGTGAGGTGGCAGATGGTCGTCATAGACCAACTGAGCGACTTCAGGAGAGATCCAAGGGAACAGGTGACGAAGCTGTAACTCACCAGCAGGTGATGACGATGAGGGCGTAGAGGCCTGTGGCGGCTGCGCTGGAGTCACCATCGGTGCCAACGGAACAGGATGAGAGGAACTGGCTGAGCCAGTCAGCTGGGCCTGGTCTTGATGAAGGGATAAGATCAGCTGTCAGATCTCTGAGACAGAGCCAGCGAGCTGGGAGGAAAAATTGGCCTGAGCATCGAGGTGGGCGTGCAGGGTGTCAATGTCAGCAGTAACATCGCGCTGAGGGACATGTTCGACAGTCAATGGCATGGGTGCAGAGGGTGCTTGGGCCGGTGCTGCCAGGACAGGAGAAGGTGGTGGCAGCAACAAAGCTGGAGTAGTCGCCTGCAGCTGGAAACTCGGGGCCAGTATAGCCTCAGCAAGGAGTGAAACAGGCTGAACACCGCAACAAGCTGCGCAGCGTTGACAGGCACAGTTGCACTTGCCGAGGAAATGGTTGGGCAGAAAGGACTTGCTGCAGTGTGTACAAGCCTGCTGCTGGGCCATCGTCGAGGCCCAGGAAGGCGAGAACACAAAAGGGAGCAAGGTCGTGCACTATGGCTACGCCTGCAACAAGAGAGAGATGATGGAGAAGAGGGAAGCATGATGAGACAGAGCACTGACGAAGTCAGTGCGACGAGGGATGTGGATGATGTGGAAGGTGGGCGCGTGCGCGCAAGCTCAGATGTGCATGCCAGTCACGTGCTGCAGACTTTCTTTTTTGAGTGTATGTGAATTAAAAACTGTCTGCATGCATCTACACGTATCGCTCCTCAAGAGCAATACCCTCCTTCTCGAGCTCGAGACGGATAGGATCGCAAATGTCCTTGGTGTAAGGAGCAAGAATACCAGTCTTGGTCAGAGCGGGGTGACCCTCAAGGATGAGACGGGTAGCGATAGCGCATGGCACACCGACAAGCTTAGCCATTGAAGAAGTACCGTGAGGAATACCGTAGTCGAGCAAGGTCGAGGTGAGGGTCTTGTGTTCACCGTTGGCAGTCTCGATTTCGAACTTATGCTGAAGCATGACCATGTCGCGCTCTCCGGGAGCGTAGGCGCACTTCTCCTCGAGAGTGGCGCAGAGCGAGTCAAGGGGGTTACCAGCGACCTGAGAAGCCTCTTGGGCGGCAGTGCCACGGACAGTGGCGGGGGCCTTGGTGGAGAAGAGGTCGAGCCATCGGAGACCACGGATGATGGTCTCTTCCTCCTGTGCCGACTTGAACGAGACCTTGGTCTTGATAGCGGCAATAAGGTCGGCTTCGGAAGTGGAGGAGGCACCGACCATCTTGGCGGTGACCTTGGCCCAGGAAGCGTTGGTGTTGTAGGCAAGGAAGTTCTTGGCCTCCTCGTCGAGAAAGCCGAGCTTGACGAGAGCAAGGATGAACTCGGGGAAGCCCTGGTATCGGAGAGTGCCACGGATGACAGTCTCGGCCTCGGGGATGTTGTACCACTGCTTGAAGGGGGTCGAGTCACGGTTGGGGTAAGCGACAAAGGCGAAAGCAGGGTTGATGTAGAAGCTCTGAGCAGCAGCCATGAGCTCGTGACCGGAGACGGTGAGCTCCTGGCCATCCTTCCAGAACTTGGCAGTGTTGCGGAGCGCAAGGAGGACACCACGCGAAGACCAGGAGAACTTGTAGCCGAGCGGGTTGTCAGCAGCCTCGGGAGCGGGCAAACCACCACAGTAGGAGAGGAAGGACTTGATCTTGCCGCCCTCAGCGTGAACATCATCGATGGCCTTGACGGCGTAGAGGTGGTCGAGACCAGGGTCAAGACCGATCTCGTTCATGACGGTGATACCAGCCTTTTGGATCTCGGGTTCAAGGGCACGGATAGCGTCTGAAATGTACGAGGTTGTGACGACGTTGACCTTGTGTTCGCAAGCGGCCTTGATGACGGCAGCGTGGTAGATGTAAGGAATGAGCGAGACAACAACGTCGTGGCCCTTGATGATGTCGGAAAGAGCAGCAGCATCGTTGACATCGACGGAAGCGGCAGTCGAGTTGTGGAGACCATGGATGAGATGCTGTGAGTGCTCGAGCTTGGCGGAAGCGACTGTCAAGCTGTATTCGGGGAAGCGAGTGGCGTACTCAGCGAAGGGCTTGGCGACGTAACCGGAACCAAGGAGGAGAATCTTCTTAGGAGCACGCTGAACCTTGGCGTTGCCCTCACCGGTGGGGATGACACGGCCAGGAGCCGGGGCGCCGTCCTCGATAACCTTGCGGGCGAACTCGGGGACAGTGAAGGCAGCCTTGTGGACCTGCGAGTTGTAGTATCGGCAGTTGGAAACCTCACGAAGGGGCTCTCGGACGTTTCGGTTGGCGTCAAGAGAGCAGATAACGAAGCCGATCTGGCCAGATGGATAAGTGGGGATGGTAGTGAAGGCGTAGTCGGCAACGGGGAAGAGCTCCTTGGTGGATCGTCGGAGCTCGCCAATGAGGTTGAGGTGGATCCAGATACACTCGGCCTGGGTGGAGATGTGTCCTCCGGGCTTGAGGGCCTCCTTGAGGAGGGCAAAGTAGGGCTGCTGGAAGAGAGCCTCGGCGGGACCAACGGGGTCAGAAGAGTCGGTGATGATGACGTCGAAGCTGGCCTTGTTCTTGGGGTCTTGGAGGAACTTGAAACCGTCACCAATGATGACAGTGGACTTGGGATGAGTGAGACCCTCGGCCATCTTGGGAAGGTACTGCTTGGAGACACGGGGGACGGCCTCATCAATGTCGCAGAGGACGGCCTCCTTGACCGAGTCGTGCTTGACAACCTCACGGAGTACACCACCGTCACCACCGCCGATAACAAGGACACGCTCGGGGTTGGGGTGGGAAGCGATGGGAAGGTGAGCGATCATCTCCTGGTAGGAGAACTCGTCGCGCTCTGTGCACTGGATGACACCATCGAGAACGAGAACGTTGCCGAAGGTGGTGGACTCGAAGACGAGGACATCCTGGTAGAGGGACCTCTCGTGGTGAAGGATACGCTGAACCTGCAGGCTCATGGCCTGACCAGGCCATTGAGAGTTGGTCTCGTGAAACCAACCATCGCGGATGTTGGGGTGAGTGATGACGCCCATTTTTTTGCTCTAGAACTGTGGAAGTGGGAGGCTTGATGAAGAAGAGAAGGTGGTGGTGTTGTAGTAGTAGTAGAAGAAGCAAAGAAGGACGAGGTGAAGGGAGACACACTCTCTCTCTCTGAGGTCACAGAGTGATGCTTCACTGTGAGGTGTCGCTTTTTTAATTTATTTATTTTTTTGGCTCCAGCTTATGTGCCGAACAGACTCCGGACAATTGCAAAGCGACTTGCAGCAGTCACAATCTGAGCGTTGATGCGCCATGTTCTTCTTCTCGGCACAGAGACACACACAAATTTTCTTCCAGAGTCACACCGAAAAAGAAAAGAAAAGAAAAAAAACAAAAAAAAAAAAAAAAGGCCATCTTTTTCCCTTTTCTTCTTGGGACCGTGAGCACGAACCGCGCTTTTTTTTCGGTTGAATTCCGGGGCCTCGGTGAATTGCCGCCAATTCTCAACAGCCTTGTGGATTTTTAGGCTGATGTTACATCCTGAATTAATTGAAGATAACAATTAATACACGGTGTTATCGGGGTCATGATCAGACTCCCTTTACAACAGCTGTATGTTCTATGTAATGCTTAGTTTTCATAGTGTGAACCTAAATGACAAACACATATATATACTCCATTTGCCACTCTAGTCCTATCCGAGGTGGGACATGTCACTTCATTTGTACTCCTATGTTGCTATGATACTGAGTGCCACTGAGCTGTCACCATGACAACAATCATGTATCTCATTGTGCTTCTTGCTTAAGTAAGCCTCCTGTGCCTCAGTGTCTTGGCCGTGACACATGCATCTTGCTTGAGTTGCCGACACATCTTCAACTCCCCCCTTTGGTGGGATCTCCAGCCCTATCATCCTAGCCAATCATGAGGTGTTGAGACCCTGTAAAGGTTTTGTCAAGACATCTGCAACATGTCAGCGGTCGCGTGCCTGAAACCTGAGAACAGTAGTAGTATCAGTACTATCACCGATTCTGTCGAATTATGCAACAGCGCTAATGGTATTTCGATTCTTAGTGAAATATGCAACAGAGCCTTCTCTGTCACCTTTCTCACTAGAATCTGTAGTTGTATTATTGTTGTGACAGATTTCGACTAACCGCTGTGGACACTCTGTCCAGAGGTAGCTCAGCACGATCAGACTACGATACGACTCTAAATGAGCTTGATGTTGACACCAATGGTCTGGTGTGAGTATGGGTTGATGATGCCAACATGAGTGTCCAGTGTGTCAGCTAACGCTTGAAGTGATCCCCAGGCTGCAGTGGATGTCTGCCTTCGGTTCTATTGTTATCCGGACCGCTGGTTGCTACAAACCGCCTTTGGACACCAGGAAATGGTGATACAACACACATGCTTCATTGAGGAGCAATCTGTTGATTACTTCTATGCTGACTGTGTGCTAATGATACTTATTGCTTGAAGTAATACTAGTACATTTGATGAGTGTAGAGTGGATGGATCCACTTGACCATTCATGACAAGAAGGTATGCCTATATATCTCTTCACAGCATCGCCAGCGACACTGCTCCTGCTCTCTCTCTCCAGAGAGTACTCTCTTTGTCAAGTATTGTACAGGTGTCTCCAAGGAGGCACCTCCTCTGTATCAGATCTTGTCCCTCCTGTCTTACCTGAGCTATGTCAACTTCATCAACACTGCTCCTCTTCTTCATGTCCCTTTCGCTGGTGTCCTTTACACAGCTCTCCTTCTTCTGACTGGCGACAGTTCTCTTTTACTCCTGTCTTGTGGGCCCCTGAGTGGTAACCATCTGCATGTCACTTGAGCTTGGTCCCTCTCGTGTGTGAATCGTCATACAGACAACCTTGCTACCGATCTCCGCGGAATCTGCCACAAGGTCTCTGTCAGGGGTCTCGCGCCTGAAACCCAGGTCGGTCTGTCGAGATACTTGGTGACTATCAAACTGTGCAACAGCTATTGTCTCGGTATCGGTGACTATCAAGTTGTGCAGTGACAGCAGGTGGCGTTTGTTGTATATACTATCATAGGTTTCGGCTGACCTCTGTGGACACTCCATTCAGGGGTAGCTCGGCACGATCAATATCAATGTTATGATGACACCAAGGTCTGGTGTGAGTGTTGATGATGATGAGGTTGATGGTGTTGGTGATGAGATTGGTGATGTCGATGATAATGAGGTTGATGGTGTTGGTGATAAGGTTGGTGGCATCAACATGAGTGTCCAGTGTGTTGACTTGATGCTTGAAGTGATCCCCGGACCGCAGTGGACTACTGCCTTCGCTTCTATCTTGATCTGGACCGCTAACCTGCTATGGGTGCCTTCGGACATCAGGTAGTGGTGATACAACACACACACTACGATGAGGAGCAACCTTGATGGATTGCTGCTATGCTGACTGGAACTAATATATACTTATGCTGAAGTGATACTAGTTATGGTGAGTAGAGTGGATGAGGATCCACTCGACCTATTGATGATGAGAAAGCATGGTTATATACCTCTTCTCAGCATCGCCAGTGATGCTGCTCCTGCTCTCTCTCCAGAGAGTACCTTCTTCATCGAGTACTGCTCAGGGGCCTCTCCTGCTTGGCACCCCTGTGCCTCTTGAGCTGTGTCGACTCCTTCGACACTGCTCCTCCTCCTCATGACCTGGTGTCGACTCCTTCGACACTGCTCCTTCTCCTTTGATCAGTGACAGTTCCTTTGGCTCTTGTCTCTCGAGCCCCTGAGTGGTAACCATCTGCATGCTCCTTGAGCTTGGTCCTCTTCGTGGCTGTGCCTGCTCCTTGAGCTTGGTCCTCCTCGTGGCTGTGCTTGGCCCTTCTTTGCATGTGAGTCTGTAGGAGTCCATGGTCTCCATGGAGACTGCACTACAACCATGCTCTCTACTGATCTCGACTAGATCTTCGATACCTGTGCTCCTTCCATATGAACCCGTGACCCTCCTGCTTCTTGAGCATCCAGGCCCATGACACTACCCCCCTCTTAAGAGCCGAGCTCCGTCGAGGCATGCTCTGGTCTGGTCCATGCTGACTCCTCCTCCTCCTCCTCGACAACATCGCCAACATCATCCTTCCTCCTTCTCTCAACGTCATCCTCCTTCCTCTTCCTCTCTCTACTCCTCCTGTTCTCTCCTCCTTTCTCTACTTTGTCTACTCACTCGTCCCCCCTCCGACACCTCATACTCCTGGATGAGGTCAGGACAGTTGAGGTTCTCTACTGGTTCCCATGAAGCAGCTTCCTCTGAGTACCCTCTCCACAACACCTTGTACTCTGTAGTCCCATTGTGTGAACGCTTGTCGATGAGTGCTTCGACTTCGAAGTCGAGGTCCTCATCTGGAAGTGATGGTATGGTGGGCTGTTCAGCACATTGAGGAAGAGAACTTGTTCTTGCTGGCTCGAGCATGGAGACATGGAACACATCATGCACCCTAAGGTTTGCTGGCAATGTGATTCGATAAGCTCGGCGTCCTACCCGTTCCTGAACTGGGTAGGGTCCTGCAAACCGGGTATCTAACTTGGGTGTGGGTCTCCGTGTCTTCCAGTTTCGACGGTTGATATAGACCATATCACCCACCTTAAACTCGATGTCCTTGTGCTTCCTGTTATACTGGTCTACTGATCTCCGTTGTGCCTCTCTGATCTGCTCCTGGAGGTACTTGCAATGCTCCTTTCCATCCATGAGGTACTTGAAGCGACCTGGGTCATTGACTCCTAGTCATTGAGGGATGTCAGGATGAGCTTTGGGGTTCCATCCATAGCATGCAAAGAATGGTGAGACACCAATGCTGTTGTGGACTGTGTTGTTGTATACAAAGGCTGCAGTGTCCAGCAGGTTGGCCCAGTCATCCTGTTCATAGTTGCAGTACATCCTGAGGTATTGTTCTATGACCTGATTGACTCTCTCTGTCTGACCATCAGTTTGAGGATGGTAAGCCATACTAAGTGAGTGCTTCACACCCATTTGCTCTGCAAATGCCTTCCATGCTCCTGATATGAACTGCCTGCCTCGGTCCGAGACCATGTGATCTGGATATCCAAAGAGTCTAACCATGTGTCCATATAGCAATACTGCAGTCTGTTTGGCTGTGACTGTCTTATGGGTTGGAGCTAGTATGGCAAACTTGGTTAACCTGTCAACGATGACTAGGATAGAGTCATAGGTCTTGGAGTCATACTTCTTCGATGGTGGTAGTCCTTCAATGAAGTCGAGGGATATGGAGCCCCAGGGCCTGTCTGGTGTTGCTAGTGGCTGTAGCAAACCATATGGATGGTGATGAGGAGCTTTGTACCTAGCACATACAGGACAACTTGCTACATAGTCTGCAATCCAAGCTGTCATGTTTGGCCACCAGTAATGTCGTTGAGCTGCCTTGATGGTAGCATCTCTTCCTACGTGTCCAGCAGTAATACCATCATGGCATTGGGTCATCACCATGAATCGCAGATGCTCTACAGAGAGAGACTGTCCATCTACCTCTTTGGCACTCCTTGAGTGTCAGTTGTTGGTCCTCCCTGGCATGATCACTTTGGGGATAACCAACCTTCCTCCACTGTACCATAGGTGGTCCTTGAGTTCGAAGGGCTTCTTCCTATGTATCTCCTGTAGCTCTTGGTCTAAGGGCTGGAAGATTTTGACCAGGTCTCTGAGACCTTTTGATGCTATGGACTCCATCAAGAGCATAGGGGCCACTAGGGTCGAGTCATGGTCTGCTGCCTCCCTGAACACTCGAGGAGGCAGTAGTTGCCTCACATTGTGATCCTGCTCTTCACCAGCTGGTTGCATGTCAGTCCTTCTGGTGAGAGCATCGGGTTCACCACCTTTGTCTCCTGGTCGATACTGCAATATGAAGTCGAAGTCTGCTAGTAGTATGGCCCATCGAGCCTGTCGACCTGTGATGCATCTCTGTGACTTGAAGTACTTGAGGGCTTCATGGTCAGTGAGGATGACCAGTTGGCTCGGTAGTCCAGCTAGCATGTGTCGCCACTGAGTAAGGCAGGCGACCACAGCTAG